CCTGGGCACAGCGCCTGGAGCACAGCCAGTGGCCGCCGAGTCTACAGTTAAAGTCACTTGGGGCAGGGAGTGCAGGAGGGTGGCGGCTACAGGTACACTCAGTGCGGAGACTGTGGAAGGTGTTGTAGCATGTTGATAGTTTACAGTTTGTAGGCAGTGAGGATCCATGAGAGTGATTTGAGTGACAAATGTCCTAGATACAGCTAAGAACTGCTTTCATATTATGAAATATTTGACAAAATACCTAGAGGCCAAAGAAACTTAGGGACAGATTGTTAGAGTTAGTACTAATTGAAAATGAATATACAGTACTTCTGAGATTAAAGGGACAAGATCTAATATGCAGCAAATTTTCAGAAACATAACTGCTTTGTAAATCAAAGAGCCCATGTAAAGATTTTGAAACATAATAGTTATTATTTGATCTAAGGTAACGAACACTTACAATACCTGTATTAGTAAACCTTGTCTTAAAACTTCTACAGAATTTTTACCTGAGTGCCTATAGTTAGTATTTTAAAAGCAAAAACAAATGTGGTTTCCAAAAATGAAAAGGATTAAAACAACCACAATTTGGATCATAAACCCACAGAAATAGTCTTCTGCTGTGTCTGAGTGCGCGTTCACAACCAAAGGCTGGGGATGCAACACGGTTCCCACTACTCACCGCCGGCTTCACCAGCAGCTGGCCCATGACGGCGAACATGCGAGACAGGCCGACCGGGGTGCACACTGCGGGGAGAGGCAGACAACGCTTACTGCGAGCACACAGACCGCCAGCCTGCACACCGCGCTAAATCAGACTGGCTCTCAGAAAGTTCTGTCTCCGCTTCAGACTCGCGGTGTCTGTCGGAGGCTCCTCAGCATGGTCAAGAGGGCTGGCGAGTCACTTCCTGTACTTGACGAGGGACAGGTGATGGCTAAAGACTGAGGACACGCGAGCCTCTAGCACAGTGGTTCTCAACCTTCCTAATGCCATGACCCTTTAATACAGTTCCTCATGATGTGACCCAACCATAAAATTATTTTCGTTGCTACTTCATAACTGTAATTTTGCTACTGTTATGAATCGTAAATTAAATATCTGATATGCAGGATGTATTTAGGCGACCCCTATGAAAGGGTCGTTCGACCCCCAAAGGGGTCGCGACCCACAGGTTGAGAACTGCTGCTCTAGCAGCTGAATGATAAGCATTTTCACTTACAAGAAGCTAAAGAAAACCAACTAAAGAACAGACTGATTTCAAGCACTAATGAAACTGAGAAGCAGACAAGAGTATCTAAAAGTGACAACTATCATCTTAAATCCTTATAACTACACTTATCTGTTTATAATATCCCTGAGACATGTGGTGACGTCTTAAGTAAAACTAAGCAAGTTTAAAATAAAGACTGTAATTGATCACACACAATTCTATCATTACCATTCAAAAGTAGAGTCTAGTGTCAGAATAGTTAAGGGTATGGGGGCCATGTGCGTGCACTTGAATATGTGCATGTCTGTGTGCATATGTGTGTCTGTGTGCATATCTGTGGGTGTGTCTGTGTGTGCAGGGTTTGTGCATGTGCACGCGTATGTCTATGTCTATATGCGTGTATATGTGCATGTCTGTGCGTGTGTGCCTGTGTGTCTATGTGTGCATGTGCCTGTGTGTGCGAATGCCAGCATGTGCACGTGTCTGTGTGCATACCTGTGTGTGCGCCTGTGTCTGTGTGTGTGTGTATGTCCCTGAATGTGTGTCTGTGCCTGTACACATGTGTATCTATGTCTGTGTTTGGGGGGGGGGGGTGTCTCTGTATGTGAGCATGTGTGCAACCATGTGTGTATCTCCCCCTCCACCCACCCTTTACCCCAACCCTGTGAAAGAAGTTTTTCTTAGAGAACAACACAAGTGTCTTATTATTTCAAGGTTTCAGTTTATCAAAATTTACCTTGATATAAAAAAAGTTAAGGGCCACCCGGCCAGCGTAGCTCACTGGTTGCAGGTCAACCTATGAACCAGGAGGTCACGGTTTGATTCCAGGTCAGAGCACATGCCTGGGTTGTGGGCTCAATCCCCGGTGTGGGGCATGCAGGAGGCAGCCGATCAATGGTTCTCTCTCATCATTGATGTTTCTATCTCTCTCTCCCTCTCTGAAATCAATAAAAATATAAAAAATAAAGTTAAGGGCCAACTTTTTCAAACTCTCCAAGCTGTAAGGAATGTCATCGGAAAATTTCCCATAATTCTCTAGAACACAGAAGAACTCTCTTTTCCGATCAATATTAAGTCAGAAAAATACTTACAGAGAAGCAGCAAACATCCCATGAGTGATACACAAGAGTACAAATAGGGCAGGTAGAACTCCCAGAGATCTGTGAAGAAAGTCAGTGTTTTTTAGTAAATCCAAAACACTGTACATTGAGATAGAGGCTGACTATGAATTAATGTACAGTAAACATCGTAATTGCCTATTTGGACCTAAACCATGTAATTTCTAAACAGCACAACAAAAAGACCTAAAATAACCCCTTTGCAACACTTGTCTAGAAGGAGAAAAAAAGCCTCCGTGGAATTTTAAGAACAGAAACCAATTAACAACAAAAAGATACTCTGCACACAGGTAACACCTGAGCAGTCATTGCTTTCCTAAATGTCTCTAAAGGTTTCTTACTTCTGTAAACGAACAAGGGCTCACTACACGAAGAACTATTTCAATGCTTTAAAAGTGAGTGGTGAGCAGGGCTCCATGGGAGAAACTGGTTCAAGCCGCAAGCGCACCGTACAGAGACTCCCTGCTCGCCGCGTCCTTGTCCACGAGCGCGGAGGCCACCCACACCATCCCCAGGACCAGCAGCGCCAGGAGCAGGAGCATGACCAGCGTCTCCAAGATTCGGGCTCGGAGTCCCTGAAAAGTAAGTAGAGGCATGATTTTAATATTGTATTACATCTCATGAACAAGTAGGTTTCTAGCCATAGATAGAAAGCATAAAATTCCTTGGGAAGGGGTGGAAATTTACTATTTATCAGCAGAAAAAAACGTGAAGTGCTTACAGTTTGTAATGTTGAGACTGATTTTTCCAAAATTATGTAAAATAGCATTAGCTTTGAGGAAAGTACAAAAAAATATTATTGATCCAAAACATTTTGCAGAATCATCCTAAACAATTAATTACTTTCCTCACACACCAAGGAAGCAGATTACCCAGTCTTTACCTGTGATCCTAATCAAGGAAACAGGCCCGTCCAGGCGCTGGGCCAGCGGACCTCTCGCAGCTCCTGGCCTCCAGCGCCCTCTAGTGAGCAGCGGAGGACTAGCCCGGCAGGAGAGACCAGAGATGGTCGGTTTATACCAGGGATACAGATAGAGCATCCCCTTCCCATTAGAGCCTTCTCCCTACTCCATGAGGCTGGGACCTAACAGTCATTATGCACCATTTGTTTTCAATATAAACAATACTGGCCTCAAGGCCAAACTAGAGACCATATTTTTAAATTGAAACCCACTAGACAAGGCAAAACAAAAAGTTAATGCGGAGGGGAGGGGAGGAGTGAGGTGAAAAACCCTAAATCACCTTCTTGGATTCTTATTACCCAAGTTACTAAAAACTTCCTTATGCTCCTGAAAAGTCACCAAATGACTGATGAGCGGTCAGAAAAGGTGTCTCCTCTGCAGCTCATGCGCACTGACCACCAGGAGGCAGATGCTCAACGTACAGGCATGGAAACATGGAACAGACTGATAAATCTCAGAGGGAAGGGGGGAGGGCAGGAAAAGATTAACCAAAGATCTTAGAAGCCTGGTGTACAGATTAGTGCACCAGTGGGGTCCATTGGCCTGGCCTGCAGGGATCAGGCCAAAACTGGCTCTCTGACATCCCCCGAGGCTCCCGGATTGTGAGAGGGTGCAGGCCAGGCCGAGGGACCCCACCGGTGCACAAATCTGGGCACTGGGCCTCTATTAGTTATTATATTAAACAATTATAATGATGTAACCACAAGTACAGCATAAAGGTTAAGATGATGATGATCCATGTAGGAAATGACTCGCCATTTCTTTTTTTTTTTAAATATATTTTATTGATTTTTTTACAGAGAGGAAGGGAGAGGGATAGAGAGTTAGAAACATCGATGAGAAAGAAACATCAATCAGCTGCCTCCTGCACACCTCCTACTGGGGATGTGTCCGCAACCAAAGTACATGCCCTTGACTGGAATCGAACCTGGGACCTTTAGTCTGCAGGCCAACACTATCCATTGAGCCAAACCAGTTAGGGCTCCTCTGGCATTTCTTAGCGGTGAAGCTTGTTTTCCTGTGCGCTGTCAGGGGAGGCTCCAGGGTCCCCCCCTGTGAAGCCTCGGAAGACAGCCAGGAGTCTCTGAAGCAGGGCAGACAATGGTGATGTCACCTACAGAGCAAAGGGTGGAGGGTTTGCTTGCAGCCATTTTGAATGGTATGGTTCCCTAAGCTCGGGCTCCTGGGCGGGACGGGCCCACTGTGGGAGCAGCCCCAGCCATGTGGCCTCTGGGCTGGGGTCGGGGCACTGACAGGAGCCAGCAGCTCCCGTGCCTGAGGCCTGAGTGCAAGGTCCTCTGTCTCTGACCCAGGAGCCATCACAATAGCACCTAACTGGCCAGTAGTCTGGGAGCCCCTGCAGTCGGGACAGCTGGGTGACAAGGGGGGAAGCGAACAAGGTGCTCTGGAGAGCGCACAGGGCCATGCGGGGCGGATTATGGCCATGAGAAACTCCAGGATCTGGCAGTGAACTCTCAAGCAGGCGGGAGAAGGGTCCCTGGCAACCACTGACCCAGACCGGGAGCTGAGCTATGAAGGGACTGAGACAACCCATGGGCAGCTTGGGGCAGCTCCTCTCTGGGCAGGAGCAGGAAGGGGTGCCCTGGGCACAGGAGACCAGCAGGCCCTGCGAGGTCAGCCAGAAGGGACTGTCCCGTCGCTCCAACTACAGCCATGGGGAACTATGTTTCTTGTATACTTGGTGCTCTTCTGTATTTTCTAGAGTGGATGGATATGACATAAGTAATATGAGAATAAACTATTATTTTTAATTTCCTATTTTTTTCTTAAAAGAATTAACCTTTAAGCATCCTCAGTCCACTTACGAGGCAGACAGTGAGTGGGGGGCCAGCCCCCCAGCTCTAGCCACAGACGGCAAGGGTGCAAATCCTGGTTCCATAGCTGACCACCTACCACTTCGGGCAATTCCTAAACCTTGTGTGCCTCAGTTTCCCCTTTGTCAATGGGTTTATTAGTAATGCCCCTGCCTGGTGGGTGTTTCAGGATCAAGTGAGTTAATATATGTGACATGGTGCCGAGAAGGCTCCGGCCCGGCTGAGCCGCCCTGCCTCGGTCACTGGTTTGGCCTTGGGAGCTCACGGTCACTTGTGCTTCTGAGTTACATGTGTACCACCTTCTAAGGCCAGCTTACGCCCACGTCCCATCTTCGTCACTCCACGTACAGACCTATAGGAAGCAATCCCATCTTTCTTAGGATCTGACCACCTCCCAGTTATCCCAAGAGACACACAGCTCATTCTACGGTCAACCGCACACATGCACTGCCCCCCACATTTCTCTCTCTCTGACCCACTAACCCACTCCCAGGCCCCCCAGCCCTCCACCAGCCTGTTTCACCTGCCTGGACCCTATGGTGAACCTGTCTACCTTAATAGTCCAGCATCAACCACACTCTAGTACTCCCATCCCCTTGGCTTCCTCCAGCCCCACTTCAGTCCATGAATGGCTCCCTCCTGACTTCTCAACCTGTTAAAGAAACGACACAGTCATGAGAAATGTTTGCTACCACATTCCCACGTGGGTCCCGTGTTACCTGGCAATCTTTCCATGGATCTCTGGCTGACTCACAACTCCCTCATGATTTTTTAATATAACAGTTTATTGATTTTTAGAGAGAGGAATGGTGAGTTTGGTTTTAGAATTAAGTTGAAGGTACCTGTGAGACCGCTAAGAGGTATATGCATATTGGCCTCAATCACCCAGGGGAGCAAGAGGAAGAGAGAGAAAAACATCGATGTGAGAGTGTAATATTGATCACTGTCTCCTGCACACCCCCTACTGGGGATCAAGCCCGAAACTAGAGCATGTGCCCTGACCAGGAATTGAATTGTCAACCTTTTGGTGCACAGGATGATGCTCAACCAACTGTACCACATCAGCCAGGGCTACTCCCTCATGACTTTTAAATGTTCTCCATCCTCCAGGGTCCTAATCTCACCCCCTACTAACTTTCTTACAGCTGCAGCTGCCCATGCTTCTGCCTCACTGAGACAGAGCTGGGCCTCCTGCACATCCCCTCAGCATCCTCCCCCGACACTCAGTTTCTCCATGTCCATCATTATTTCCTTCGCTGGCTAAGGTCCTCTCCCAGGGCTCAGCCTTAGACATTCATGCTTGCATACGCTGGACCAGCACCTCTCAAACTCCAGCAGCACCAGAATTCCCCGGGGCTCGCCAGCACCTGCAGACCAGCCCAGGTGGCACTGTGCCCTTCCGATGAGGGTGCTCCCTGCAGACTGCTCTGCTCCTCCCCTGGGTGATCTTGTCCCCTCATTTGGCCAAGGACTCTAGCGTTTATGTCTTTAGTCCAAATCTTACCATTGAGGCCAAGATGCATAATCCCAGCCTCACAGGTCCCTCCAACTGAATTCTAAGCCAAACTCCCCGTTCCTCCTGGAAACCTGTCCCCCTCATGCACAGGCCTCATTAGGTGCGCCCTTATCCAGCTGCTGTTTCTACAAGAAGCTCTGGGCCCATCCCTGCAGGCCTTCCTGCTGCGGCTGCCCATGCACACACCTGCTCCTTCCAGTCCTACTGCGCACCGTCCGTCTCAGAGCAAATGTGATCTTTTCAAAACGCAAATCGGGTCGTGTCACTCTCAATCTCAACTGGGAAACAGAGGCATGAACGCAAGGACACAGAGGAAATATCCGGTCTCGTGAGCGCCACCCCCACCAGCGAGGTGCCACACATTTACCATTTACAGTCACCTCGCTCCTCCTGCCACTGGTGGGGGGAGGGAGGGATGCAATTCCACAGCAGAGAGTCCGCTGCGCAGCGGCTTCCCTGGGCCGAGGGAGACCCCAGGCAGCGGCTGCTGCCTGAGTGCTCAGACCGTGGCCCCTGTGGCGGAAGAGCTGAATTTTAACTTCATTTCATTTTAAGTAGTTTAAGTTCATACAGTCCCACCTGGGTGATGGCTACCATGCTGGTCGGAGCAGACTGTAAAAAGCCTGCTCCTAACAAAATCTGATGCAAGCGCTCTGTGTTCTCAGGCACTTTCTGGTCATTTTTCTACATTTAACCTTGATTTTAAATCCTTTGAAAAGCAGTTTAGTTACAGTTACCTCCTTATTCAACAAGTTATAGCTCTATATAGAGTTTTAAGTAGAATTTATGTCAAAAAAAGGAAATCTATTAAATTCAGAAACTTCCCACTTCTATTTTTAAAAAGAGTATATTCTCTCCTTTAGAAAAATAGATAGTATGCAACCTAAATATAACCCTACCTGAAAGTGATATTAGGATTAAATAGGCACATATTTGTTCACATATACTTACAAAGTCCTCCACCAAAAAAAAAACTTGTGTGTGTTTTAAAAATTATATGTGAACAACAGTCTTTCTAAAAAGATACAAGCTATATAACTCCAGGAGGATGCTTTTCCGTTATAGATGTATTAGTAATACCAAGAAGAAATGTCTAAAATATATATTCACATGCTTAAGTGGTCAAATAAGAAATATTTAACAAACGAAAAATTTTAAGAAACAAAAAACCCTCTGCAGGCATATCATAAACTCTTCAAAAATTTACTTCAAATTTATTAATATTCCTTTTGAAAGATAGTGAATAACTCACAAAAGGAAAC